GACTGGGAATCAGTGTTGTTTATTGTTGATCAGAACCTGATTTATACAGTATTTTTATGCTTACATCAGTTTGAGATCGAGAATAACCTTTTCATAATTGTGCTTTTGGTATTTTCCTACTTTTGCTAATACAAGGGGAATCCATATCTCTGTAACAAATTAATTCATTATCATTTAGCTTGTCTGAACAAATACTCCTTACTTTACTTTCCCAACGTTTCTTTAGTTAACTTTGCATAGTTTTGCTAGCTGTGGAGTAAATTGATCTTTTGCCTTTGCTCCTCATGTGGATTATCAGGGAGTAATATAGATTGTTCATTTCTCATTAGAATTACTCATCTCCAGCATTGTTTCACTCTTATTGTAAGAGCTAATTTATTCAGGTTTACTCATTGGCCTTACAGAATCTACCAGTGAGCTGAGAGTAATTATTACTCTCCGCGGAACTAACAGAGAGTAAGCCAGGAGTAATCTGAGAGTGGAACGAGTAATTTGAAGAGCAATTGGGAGTAACTTGTGAGTAGAGTGAGCCCGGAGTAAGCTGGGAGCAGAAGGAGTAAGGAGTGATCGTAGGAGTAATTGTGGAGTCATCTGATCCTTAGAGCAATTAAGGAGTTACCGGATGTTAGGCGTAATTGAGAGAGTAATCAAGGAGTAATTTGAGAGCAGGAGGAGTAAATTGAGAGTAATCATATTAGCAGAGGAGGAGCATCTTGAGGAAACCAAGAGTAAATTGAAGTAAGCTGAAGAATAGCCAGGAGTATTATTAATTTTGATGTGAGGAGTAACCAGAGCAACGACCCTAGAAGAGACGAAGCAGCAGAGTGTATATAATTTCTGGACATTGTGATTAATATTAGTTTTAGAGTAATTTGGGGATGACAGACATTTGAGTTTGATTTTATTAGAGCATATGAGCAATAATAAGGACTTTGAGATTACTCTTTGAGTATAGGAGAATAAATAAAGACATTAGACATACATTATTTGCGTAAACTGATATTTTATTGTAATTTTTATTGTAATTGTATAAATATATGTGTGTTTGTTGCCATTAATTCTTGTCATGTATGTTTTCTTAAGCCGCAGTACCACCAAACCAGGTCTGCGCCCACGTAGATAATCTGTGAGAATCCCATAATAAAATAATTGTCAGTGACTTGACCTCTCCACACTACCACATTTTGGCCAGGTCCGACACTATCATGGTGACAACGTCAAAAATTGTATTACAATGTTGTCTTTAATTTCCTCAGGAATTCTGCTTGGTTTTTAATTGTTTAATTTAGAGCATTTACATTGTTCATCAACAATTGAACTGGATTTGGTGGGGGGGGTATATGATGGCCCCCTATGATAGATATATATGAGATTTTTCACCTGCAAATAATAAATAAAGTTAAAAATTAAATAGAGGCCAATATGTCAGATTCCCCCAAATGAAGTAGCGCCAGATTAAAAATCTTGTTCAATCTCGTTTTTCGTGAGATTTTAAGTGTATCAGATTTACATGTTTTTAACAAAGGACATTCCCGAGCGTTTAAAATAGCTTATCAATTGCCCTTTTTCATTTACAGTAAAAACCTGCAAACATGGAACACTCTTCGAACTGGACAAAACTGTTCCTTATTAACAGGTGTTTCATATAGAGAGGGTCCATACTAATAGAGAGGGTCCATACTAATAGAGAGGGTCCATACTAATAGAGAGGGTCCATACTAATAGAGATGGTCCATACTAATAGAGAGGGTCCATACTAATAGAGAGGGTCCATACTAATAGAGAGGGTCCATACTAATAGAGAGGGTCCATACTAATAGAGAGGGTCCATACTAATAGAGAGGGTCCATACTCTGGGCCAACCCAAAAAACGCTGAATAAACACATATTTATTGTTATGAGAATTTTATTCTGCGATTACTAAAACAACGAGAACATGAGATTGAATTAAAGATGCATTATACCATAGGTTTCTCGCACAGACAATCAATGTTGTCCCATAATTATTGCTCATATAATATCTCACATATCATGGTTATATCTTGAGCATAACTTATGGGTACATTATTGCGAAATATTGAAATAATCAACAGAACAACCAACCTCCAGAATTAAACACAATCGATTCCTCGGCTAGCGAGGGGAATCCCCGTTGAGTCACACAAGCGAACCCATGCGCCTTGAACCGCTCAGCCAATTATGTCCATGATTAACAAATTCAACGACCAATCAGACAACAGGGGAATTTTCGCGGTATATTTGAACTGCAGATTGACTTAATTTCCGTGAAAATAATTAGATCGGTCAGCACAATCGCAAAATTAACACTGAAAGCGGGGGATTGGGGAATTCTTTGGTAAGTAGATGGGTATTTATGTGGTGAAACTCAATATGCAAAAAGGTCCAGAGGGGTCTTGATTGTGCTATCCTATGGTATACAAGGGCCGATCAAAAAGTTTCTTACCATTGGCTCTCAATTTTATAATAAGAGGAGTTGGAAGCTCAAACTTTAACATGAGACAGGATAGTTAGTTTGCTTGAAACTATGAGTTTCATATAAATTGGTTCATTGGTAGTGACAGAGAGTCGATTCGTATTTTCAATGACAAAGTTAGGTGGAGCAGCGTTATATATAAAATATCTGCTGAGTTGTGGTTTTGGAAATTTACCGACATCGTTTCAAACCTCTCATACGAAGGCCTAAACATGTGTTTTTGGATCGAGTGGGCATATATAGGAAGTGCATTGCAACTGGGGATGAATATTTTGAATGAGAATGAATATTAGCAGAAAACTAATTAAATATGATTAAACTACAGTCTGTTGACAGATGACACTACTTAGTGTTAGAAATTTCCAAAACTGCAGCTTAGCACAATTTTTAATAAAAAAACGCCGCTCCACCTAATTCAATCATTGAAAATATGAATTGACTCTTTGTCACTACCAATAAACCAATTTACATGAAACTCAGACAGTCTCAAGAAAACTTACGACCCTGTCTTATGTAAAAGTTTGAGCATCCAACTCCTCTTATTATAAAATCTAGAGCCAACGGTAAGAAACATTTTGATCTTTAAGCTTTATAAGTTTATTGACATTTCCATATATAGAGTTTGGATTAAAATTTTGACAACATGACATAAATACAACATTGCCATTATCATCTCCAAAATATAATTGTGTAAATTCCTAGATTATTCCAATTGGCCAGCTGCAGTCAAGCTTTGTTGAAAGAAGCATTAGTGTCATGGCAATTAATAATAAACAGTATAATATCGAGTAAGATGTTCCATGCTGCTAACAATTGGCTTATCCTAATCTCATTCATATGAATTCAAGCTCCTTAGAATCAGATATTGGCTTTAGTAATTCACACCTCTAAAAACATGTATGTACAGTGTAACCAAATTTTCCTTGTGAACAGGTGAATTTTGAAAATTTGCCTTAAAAACACTTTTCCTTGTTCCCAATTGACAGGTATTCCATACAGAGAGGGTCTGTTAACATGTAAGTCAATGGAAAAAATATTTGGTTGAAAATTGTTCCACGTAGACAGGTGTTCGATACAGAAAGGTGTTCCATCATGCAGGTTATACTGTATAAGTAGTATACAATATAATCAACATACAGAAATATGTAACATGGGCAAATTTACGATAATTGATATTTTCAAAATCCGTTGTTCTACTAAAGCCAGCGTCGTGTGTGTTGATACCGGCGACATTTGATGTGTGCTGTTTTAAAGTCATCACAACTGGTTATCATGATCATGCGATGTACGATATTGCTTATTATTTCTCAAAAATAGCTTAAATGATGATTTTTTGGCCAAAATATAGTTTTGTTTTGTTTGTCCGAATTACAGCACATATAGATCATCGATTGCGTTAATATTTTTCAAACTACATATGAATATGTTTCACATCAGAAAATAAAAGGGCTATGTTAGATGTGTGTTACCAATGCAATGAAATACTTTTTCCATGCATATACCATTTTGTCTTATATTTTGTATCCTCAAACACACCGGTTGAATTAATACTGCTGATGCATCATTTGCTTAAGATTTCGCCAGAAAGTGGGCTTAAGGGTTACTTCTTAAATGACAGACATTGAAAACATTAGACAAAATATTGTTATTTTTTGGTGGATTTAGGTTTTGCTGTCCAATATTTTGTATCCTCCAAATATAAAGGTTTCATCAATGCACATAAATGATTCCAAACAATAATTTTCAGATATGAGACTAATCTAATATAGTGTGTATCAATACACATGGCGCAGGATGTGGTAGAATAGCAGAATTCATGGGATTTAAATTATATCAATTGTCGTAAAGGACCACGAGTTGTTTGTAGAATGAATTTCGGGAGCTTTTTCATGCATTTCGCTTGTGCTTTTCATCTAAAAACATCAATACACTATAGAGCATTTTATTGACTATAAGATTACACCATAGAATCCTAAAAATATTTCTCATTTTCAAGCATTATCTATGGATTAACACCAAGGTATTGTTATTTTTCAAACTTCAGAGGGCTGGCATTCCTTTGCCTCTAAACACAAGCCAGAAAGTGTCATCATATTGGTATATAATATTTCAGCTCAAAACCTCCCATAATTCTACTGACGGTGACGTGTTTCCTGTCAGTTATGTTAACAGAAGCTGCGAGAAGACAATGCAAGCAGCAAAATGGAGGAGCATACGGTGGTTTCAAGCACTACAACCGCACCTTGCACTACGTAGGACAGGGGTCTAAGAGAGTGTTAGATCCAAAGTTGCCAATGATAGAATGGTGGCATAAAGTTCATAACTGGGCAGGCAGAACAACTAAGACTGAAATTGTTGGCGAAGGTATATCACTAGCTGGGTTGTTCTAAAAAGCATTCTGCTTTGCAAAACAAGAATACCAGAATATAATTAACTTGGTTTTTATATTTCTTCTGTTCGACTTCAATTGGAATCAAAATAATAGCACGAATATTGCCTATTTCAGGTCTCCGAGCACTCCGTTTTTCTACAAAAGACATGGCATTGACTTGAGGGACCTCGTAACAACTGATGAACTGTACTATGGTAACGTGTCACGGATCATCAATGTAACATCAACGGAATCCTACAGATTTAGGACCCTCATACTAAAATGGCTACCTGGCCAGGATTATAGAGTGACAACTGAGACAATTGGAGAGAAAGTGAACTTCTTTGAAAACCCAGCAATAATCCATGACCTTATGTACGAGTTGGTTCCACAGGAAGAAGGAGTTTATGGAGGGACTTACTCTGGCAATAAGAAAACCACTAACCATGTTATAGTTTTTGGGCAGTATTGGATAGACTTCAGGAGATATTGTGGACTTTCAAGGAGAGCGGTAAACACGAATTATGTTTCTCAAATGTGAACAAGAGTTGTCCAAAAAGTATTTTTCTATGTTTTAACGTTTTTGCTTATTCTTTCGTTTATGTTGTACGTTAATGCACGTTATTTTCCTTCGTCTCATGTGACGTTGCTAATGAAAAATAGAAACGTTTAAACGTTTAGATCATCATTGATAGCGTCATTTGAATCTTATTAAACAACCACTTTGGAGTTAAACATTCGTAGATGAAACGATAGAATATTATCTTTTTCAGGAAAGCATATTCTATCAGTCTGATATACCAATGGATCCACCTCTTTACGTGTGTTCAATATACAGTCCTATATGGGGGCATGGCCAGGGTGAAGGTGCAATCTGGATAGACGGTGAAAGATCTGTGCTGCAGAATTTCATTACTTTCCCACCACCCTAATTAAGATGCAATATATAAATATTTACGAGAGCTTTGTGTTAGTTTTTATATTATCAGAGGCCTGGAAATAATCTACAATAAAATGTATACCCTCTGTAAAGAGGTAAATTGTTTGTATACATTTTAAAGAATTTCGTAGATATGGTAAAAAGTTAGAAAGGATTGAATAGGAAAAGTCACAATCAAAATCGTGAATGTGACTTTTTGCAGTGGCTTATATATAAAACAATAGACTTCAAATTGTAAGATATATACATTCCTAATCTTTCTCACTTGTTATACATTCTATAATTAGCTTATGTATACCGAAATTTATATCAGATGTGAATATTAATGTGTTTATTGAGCAAAATGGTAACATCCCATCCTTAGAACCACAACTATTTAAGTTGCGTGGTTTTAAGGATAGTGTACATTATGTTGTACTTGAATAGCCTGGCTTATATAATATTGAAAGGCATGCTGATTGTACACACGAGTACATGCATGAAGGCCTAATATTGATACTGCTTGCATACCTAAGTAAAAATAAACTCTTCTAATCCCCTAATGTAAACACGGCGGTATACGTAGCCCGATTTATCGGGGGCTTTAAGGAAAACATAAAATATTGTTATTTTGTGGTGGATTTAGGTTTTGCTGTCCAATATTTTGTATCCTCCAAACATTAAGATTTCATCAATGCACATAAATGATTCCAAACAATTATTTTCAGAAATGAGGCTAATCCAATATAGTATTTAAATGATTGTTATATAAATTTTCAAGAATATCTAATTTGTTAGTAAATTGAATATGTTGAGCATGTGTTGGAGGATACAAAACATATGAACATTGTAAAACGTGTTATTTTTTAATGAGTATGACAAATCAATTAACCCCTTTTGAGAGCTGGTCGGAAACGTATTTTATTAACCAGCTATAAATTATCGACGGACTTAAACGGGCTGACAATCCTTTGCCCATAAACACAAACCAGAAAGTGTCATCATATTGGTATATAATATTTCAGCTCAAAACCTCCCATAATTCTACTGACGGTGACGTGTTTCCTGTCAGTTATGTTAACAGAGGCTGCGAGAAGACAATGCAAGCAGCAAAATGGAGGAGCATACGGTGGTTTCAAGCACTACAACCGCACCTTGCACTACGTAGGACAGGGGTCTAAGAGAGTGTTAGATCCAAAGTTGCCAATTATAGAATGGTGGCATAAAGTGTCTGAGACAATACAAAAAATATATTCAGAACTTTTCAATTGTTTTGTGGGGTTGTGAGGGGTGGCCCACTCCCCCTAGAAAATTTTACAATATTAAGATGCTATTTGGTGCTTTCTGGACACTTTCAAAGTGAATGAGTCAATAAAAAAAGATAAAGAAAAAAATCATAATTTCTTAAAATTTATTTTTGGGGGGGTGTCCAAGGTGGCGGGGTGCCCGAGGGGGAGGTGGGGTGAGGATGCCAGAGGGGGGGCAAGTGTTAGTCCCCCAGAAACATTGACTATATCAAGGAGCTATTTGATGATGTCCGGGCACTTTAAAAGTGTCTGAGACAATACATAAAATAAATTCAGAACTTTTCAATTGTTTTGTGGAGGTGTGAGGGTGGCCCACTCCCCCTAGAAAATTTTACAATTTTAAGATGCTATTTGGTGCTTTCTGGACACTTTCAAAGTGTATGAGTCAATAAAAAAAGATAAAGAAAAAAATCATAATTTCTTAAAATTTAAAAAAAAGTTCCCAATTTTTTTTTTTGGGGGGGGGGTGTCAGAGGGGGGTGCGGTCGCACCCATCGCACCCCCCCCCCATCTGACGGCAATGACCCAATACATCAACGGATTGTACATTGGTTTGCTGAAAGATCATAATGAAATGTTCCTGAGGGACTGACGAAAGAAATGTCCCCATTTGCTAGCCAATATGATCTTGCATATTAACAATTGCACCAGTGAATAAGTCACTACATGCATGCCAGTAGTGCACCCAATTTACTTTCTATTGAGACTTTACAGTATATAGTAGCTCCATATACTTGCCAGATTTTGCTCTACTAGACTTTTCATTTCTTTGGGGACCTTAAACAAAGATTAGTGGGCCATGTCACTGAAACGGAGGAAGAATTGAGTCATGTTGTTTCAGAGGACCCTACAGAAATGGCTATAGAACGATTTGGGAATGTGTATAAAGCGTAGCTGAAAAGATATCAACTGCAGATAATATGCTATAATAACTCTGTAGAGACACGTTAGCTGAATGTGTATGATCCTATTACCTAATGTACTGAAACGCTGAAATAATTTAATGAAAACATGCTATTATAGTAGAGAAGTTGTGTAAATATTGTCAAAATTTGACGTAACTTGTATTTCTCTGACTACTCCGGGGTTTGTGGTGATGTAGAATTCAAATGTCAATAAATTCGGAAATATAAAAGACATAGGGTACCTGAAATTCATGATATTGTTGGATTTATACCTTATTTATATTGACACTTATAGTGAAAGTTTCTTTTGGATTCTTGCAAATGTGTGACTACTGCAAGGCTACTGCTCATTTCACGTTTAAATGTGAAGTTTTCTTTGACTTATCTCTTAAGTCAGGAAATGCATTCGTATATAAGGAAAACCGATACAAAATTTGGTGACTTTACCCCAAAAATATGGCTGCCATTTTTTGTATTTTTGATTAACTTTACCGTTACCTTAATTTTGAGATCTTTCTAAAGTATAGCTTTATTATAGACTACTCAAAGGCAATCTAGAGTAGATTGCAAATATTGTATCGGTTTTGTAATTTGGGCCTCGTAAAATTCAAAATGGCCCCGCCTTATGTGGAATTTCGCAATAATTTTCTCTTCAAAGTATGGCTATAGTATTCTCAAATTGAATGAATTTTAAGGCTGATCACTATTTTGGTATTGTTTTCCTGATTTGTGCCTCAGAAAATTCCAATTGTCTTTATAATTTGTGCCTTTAAAACTCTTAAATGGTCACCCAAATGCTTTTAAAATTGGTAGAAATTCTGATATATCTCTAATGTTACCGATGTTTATATTTTTGTGACAGATTCATATGTTATAGTGTTCGTTCGGATTTGCCACTCCGTAGTTGCCGTTTTTATTTCTAGTTTTCACATATTGCAAAATATTCTATGCAAATCACTTAAAAGATACAGAAATTACCTACATTATCGAATATATTTTCAAGGAATATATTTCGCAAGGGTCGAGTTGTCACCATTCGATATTTATTATTTGACCTGGCACTTTGCTAGATTTTTAATCAATAATGTAATTGATGAGCTTATCAGTGTAATTAGTGTCATAAGTATCTAAAAATGGCCATTAGAAAATATATTGTAATGCAAATGCGAGTAGGTAGCTACCAGTTTCACCACCAGGTGGCTCGCTCGGGTCAGATAGAATGGCGGGTAGAAAGTTCCTTTTAACTTAAATTACATCTGTTTTAGTGGTTCAATTTTCATATGGCCCTTATGTATCGAATAGTTATGCAAATTAAAGTATGTCCAGTGAAAGAAAATATTATATGTCCAATACAAGAAAAGATATTTCACTTTTTGTGATTTTGTTATATGGGGTCTATGGGGAATCAACCCGAACTAGAAGTCAAATTTTCAAAAAAGATTAAATTTTCAAAGTTGATAAACAATTTTCGAAACCATATTTTTAGATGTATTTTTACATGTAGATTTCAAATATGACATCACTTTGACTGAATTTTGAATATTTAATGACGTAAATAAAGATCATTTCAATTTCGCATCTAGTCTATTATATGGATTATTTGAATTGATAGCCTATTATTGCATTTTATATTGATTGCCTCGTTTAAATGAGATAATACATTTATAATATATTATAATCCGCGTAAGACACATATTTACAGGGCGAGCCAAAAGGTTAGTTCCGTTGGTCGATTTCAAATGGTTAGATTCTTTGGCAATTTTACAAAATACACTCCGATTATAATATATTATCGTTGAGGCTATTGTGTACACTAACCTAAGAAGCATTAGAGACTTAAAACAAGAGATTAGAAGGAAAAGCCATCACACAAGATATCTGTTAGCGTGTAGTCAGACAAATTCACCCAATGCGTTCAAGTTTGCCTTTAAAGACAAGACCGTCATCTTGAGCATGTTTTGTAAATTGGTCACAAAATCTTGACCATTTTCACCTTTCCACAAAGTCAGCTCATGAATCACGATTAAATATCCTTTGTATTTCTGCAATATTATACTTTTTGCATGCGTTTACAAGTTTAGAGATATGCATGTTCTTCATTCCGATTCAGAATCTTCCTGGAAAATCTTGAAATACGCAGAGGCAACCACAATGCCATTCATGTTATAAAAAATTACCACTGAGAAGCTTTCAGAAAAGTAGGGTATTTATTTAATAATGAAGGCTTATATCATATATCATTATACTATGTACAATTTTTCATGTTAACATCGCTGTTTTTGGTAAGCTACGGCCCCCATGGTTGCCGTAGATCAAATGTGACTGAGGAATTAAAGAAAACCCTAATTGTAAGTTTTACTGGAATGGCAACTGAAAAAAAGTAATAGTCACCATGTATTATATTCATGCTTTTGAAAACGTTTTTTTAATTTGTACTATTGGGATGGGATCCTGAATAAAAAAATGTACCGTAATATTTCTTTTTTGTATTTCAGTTAAGTTTGTGCGAATGGCAGGTAAATTTATGATACGACAGCCATTTATAGGGCCACAATCAGAAAATTTAACTTGATTTGCTTGTTCATTTGTACATTGTTTGTTTACAATCGCATGAGTTAAGTGAGGCTGATCCGTGAATTATAAGTCTTTAAAACACAAATTCTGTCAAAAATTGATTAAATCAAATTATATAAGAATCGGAATGAAAGTGCCCCGTCCATATTTCATTATTAATTACAAATATTTACTGCTTTGTACAACTATAGTCATTTTGATTGCAGTTATCTCTAAATATTCGTATACCTTATCTACTAGATCACCACAACCCATTG